TGCCAAATCTTGGTTCCTGCCCTTTATTTTTCACAGCTGATACCCACCAAAAAAGTTCTTGTACTCCTAACTCTATTTCATTGTTTGCTTCTTTCAAGAGACCTAAATTGACAAGAGTGACTGAACAGGTATGAGATTCACAGGACTGAGCAACTTGGGGGGCGGGGGGAAGATGATGTTTGAGGAAGACAAGTCTGAGCAAGAGGCCCAAAGATATTTTTTAAAGATTTTATTTATCGATTTTTAGAGAGAGGGGAAAGGAAGGAGAACGAGAGGGAGAGAAACATCAGTGTGTGGTTGTGTCTCGCACGCCCCCCACTGGGGACCTGGCCTGCAACCCAGGCATGTGCCCTAGACCAGGAATCGAACTGGCGACCCCTTGGTTCATAGGCCTGCACTCAATCCACTGCGCCACACCAGCCAGGGCTCAAAGACATTTTTAAAGCTCAATTGTCATGGGCTGAAGCTGTTTTTAAAAGTAAATATATTTGACTGCAAGAATGTATTTAGTTGTATGCAGAAATACTCTTAGTAATGAGTTACACCACTTTACAAACGTCCAGAGCTGTCCTGGCTGGGTGGCTCAGTTGGTTGGAGTGTTGTCCTGTACACCAAAAGGTTGTGCGTTCAATTCCCGATCAGAGCACACACCTAGCTAGCAGGCCCCGTCCCCGGTCAGGGCAGGTATGGGAGGCAAGCAGTCAATGTTCCTCTCTCACATCAATGCTTTTTCTTTCTGTCTCTCTGTCTCTCTCTCCCATCCTCTCTCTCTAGGATAAACAAACATCCTTGGGTGAGGACAAAAAAAAAGGTTAAAACTTGGAAAGAGGTTCTATCCACATAAAATTTATGTCATAAACTAACAGATTTTAGAAACAATGGAGATGGAAGGGCTTATGACAAACACTGTGACTTTTATGAATAGAATTCAAAATCAGACACTGTCCATCACTGTATTTCCAACACAACGCGGGTACAGAGTCGGTGCGCACAGACCATTTGCTGGACTAGCTTGGTAGCCTGCAGAACGCGACCAGCGAGGGCAGCCTCTCTTGACTGAGGAGGGCCGTTCCAAGGAAGTTTCCTAACGCGAACATATGTGTGGAGAGCCTCTTTCTCTTACACCCCCCACCGACTCCCATCAACAAAGCCTGTAAATTCTACGATAAATCCAGAACCCAGCAATTTACCACTTGCACGGCTTCCACCCTGATACAAGTCACCGCTCTCTTCTGGATCACTGCGATAATCTCCTAACCTGTCTTTGCCCACCCCGCCCAGGAAGCTCTCCACACAGCAATCAGAGTACTCCTTTCAAAACACTAAGTCAGATCCCGTCACTCCTCCACCTTAAACCCTCCAGTGATTTTCCATGTTTCTCTGAATAAAAGCCAAAATCCTTGGCTCTGGCTGGTGTAGCTCAGTGGATTGAGCACATGCCTGTGAACTAAAGCGTTGCTAGTTTGGTTCCCAGTCAGGGCACATGCCTGGGTTTCAGGCCAGGTCCTGGGGGGGGGGGGGTGCTCGAGAGGCAACCACACATTGCTGTTTCTCTCTCTTCCTCTCTAAAGATAAACAAAGTATTTTTTAAAAAGTCAAAGTCTTTACAATGGTTTTCTGCCCACTGCCCCACTTCTTTACATCTCTATTATCATCAGCTACTCTCTCTCCACCGCTTCCTCATTTCCTTCATTGATCTCCTGGGTTTTCCTCCAAGGTGCCAAGGAAGCTTCTCCCTCATGGCCTTGCACGTAAGTGTTATATGAGTACAAACATTTATGGCTTTTAGTACTGTTCCCTCTTTTCCTCCCAGGTGTCTGCTGGCTGGCTGCCTGGCTTTTCTCTACTTTGGCACCTTATCAGGGAGACTTTCCTTGGTTAACCCATATGTCAGAGTCCCAGCAGAAAAACATGCTACATTCAAATTAGGTATTATAATGGGTTGAATTGCGTCTGCCCCGCCCTCCACAAAAGATATGTTGAGAGCCCAACCGTCAGTACTCAGAATGCTACCTTATGGGTCATGCAGAGGTAATTAGTTCAATTTATACTGGAGTAGGGTGAGTCCTTAATCCAACAAGCTGGTGTGAAGTAAGCTATTAGTATTATATATAAATAGAATGATATCTATTGGTCTGTGCCCCTGGTTGTTGATAATATGTGCTCTTTTATGCTGGTTTTTGACACAGAACTCCTAAATATCTTGGAATTCTTTGGGTGATAAGAGGGTCTTGTTCTGAGGCAGTTCTTGTGGGCTCTTAGGTAGAAGCTGGTCACCAGGAAAACTAAGCCATGATTAGGTCAGAACTTTCAGCCCTACCCCTCGTCTTCCAGACAGGGAACAGAGGCTGGAAATTAAGTTAATAAGTGATCATGCCTACGTAAGGAAACCTCCATTAAAATCCCAAAAGTATGGAGTTCAGAGAGCTTGTGGGTTGGTAAACACACCCACATGCCAGGAGGGAACGGCACCCAAACTTTATGGGGACAGGAGTTCCTGCACTCAGGACACTTGCCCTACATATCTTTTCATCTGACTGTTTAGCTGTGCCTTTTAGCCTATCCTTTATTATATAAAATAAACTAGTAAATGTGTTTCCCCAAGTTCTAAGAACAGTTCTAGCAACTTATCGAACCCAAGGAGGGGGGTGTGGGAATTTCAGTTTATAGCCAGTTGGCCTGAAGTACAGGTGACAAGCTGAGGCTTGTAACTGACATCGGCAGTGGGGGCAGTCTTGTGGCCCTGAGCCCTTAGCTTGTGGGATCTGATGCTATCTCAACGGTAGACAGTGTCAGAATTTAGTTGAATTGTAGGACATTCAGCTGATGTCTGCAGAAAATGGAAGAGTTGCTTGGTGTGGGGGGGAAAAAAAACTCACACATTTGGTGACCAGAAGAATTGAGAGTGATAACTGACTGGTGATACAATAAGAGAAACAATAAAGTTTTTCCTATTCCACTGGTATCCTTATTGGAAGAGACACAGAGTGATAGGCATAAGAAGGGAGAATATCACAGGATGATGGAACCAGAGACTGAGGTGCAGCAGCTGCAAGCCAAGGAAACCACGACTGCCCGCAAACCAAGAGAAGCTAGAACAAGGCAAGGATTTTCCTTGACAGGTTTCAAAAGGAACATAGCCCTGCCGATGCCTTAATTTTGGACTTCCAGCCTCTAACACTGAGACAATAAATTTTGATTGTTTTAAGCCACCCAGTTTGTGGTGCTTTCCTATGGCGGTCCTGGGAAACTAATCCAGGTGTACTCCAGAAAGATTCAATAGAGACTCTTCACAATGAAGTATGGAAGAGTGCAATACGGGGAAACCACAGGGAGAATGCAGTATCCTGGAGTGAAAAATAAGGGCTCCCTGGGCCTGAAAGGGCAAAACAGGGAGACGTTATTATAAGTTAGAAGGAGAATATCAACTGTAAGAAGAGTCACCCGAAGGGCCACCCTACAGACCCAACGACTTTGTGTCAAGAGCACTGCCAAACAGAGAGAAGTAAGCTCCCTGACTTCACTCTCCTCCCTCACTCCCATCTCCCGCTAGGACTCCCAGGGAAGCCAACAGCGGCAACCCACACAGATCAGCCATCTTGGGGTCAGTTACGGGTGAAGAAGAGGGAAGACGGAATGACGGAAGAAGAATGAAGGGTATCTGGGGTATTGTCGTAGCAACTCTATTTTTTTTTCAAAGAATTATGAATCCTCTGTAGGTGCTTTTTAAAAAAATAGTACTTATTGCCCTGGCTGGTGTGGCTCAGTGGATTGAGTGCTGGCCTGCAAACCAAAGGGTCACTGGTTTGATTCCCAGTCCAGGGCACACGCCTGGGTTACAGAACGGGTCCCCATTGGGGGGCGTGCAAGAAGCAACCACACATTTTCTTCATCTCTTTCTCCCTCCCTTCCCCTCTCTAAAAGTAAATAAAAATAAAACAAAAAAATTAGCACTTATTAACACCTGATATAGTATAAATACCTGATTTTAGTTTATTATTTATCTACTATCCCACTAGAACAGGATTTTCAACCTTCTTCATCTCATAGCACACAGAGTACTAAAATTCTGCAACACACCAAAAAATACATTTTTTGTCGATCTGACCAAAAAGTAGGTGTAGTTTTGATGCATTCACACCAGAGGGCTGCTGTTGTCATTTTTTTATTTGATAGTCTACAGGGATGCACAACCATTTACCATCTCTGGGCCACACTGGAAAAAGAAGAGTTGTCTTGGCCCACACATTAAATACACAAACACCAACAAAAACTGATGAGCAAAAAAAGAAAGGGTTTAAGTATATTTATGATTTTGGGTTGGGCCACGTGCAGGCCGGACACCCCTGAAAGAGAAAAGAGGTCAGTAGCCCTGACTAAATAGTCAGGTATTACATGTTTTAAAAATTCTTGCAACACACCAGTACATCTGCTGTGGCACACCAGTTGGAAAATTGCTGCACTAGAATAAAAACTCCTCAAGGGCAGGGACTTTGTTGTGTTCTCTATTATATCCCCAGCACCCAGAACAGTTCCTGGCAAGGAGACAGTCTCAGTAACTATTTGCTGAATGAACGGTTTTAAGTCTAGTACTTTTACCCTCATATTTTCAAAGTCAGCAGATGCTGCATCTCTGCTGGCTCATCCTCTTCCCTGAAATCGTTTGACTGATTTCCAAAATATACAAGCAAAGTTCCCTGGCTTGTTACCAAATACTTAGCATGATGACTCCATTTTCTTTTATCTTGGTTTAATAATTCTTGAAGAAGCCCACGCTTATCCTACAAGGCCTTGCTCATGGCGTGCCCTACCTTTGATGGCCTTTGAATTGGGGGTTGTGGTCCTGTCATCTGTCACATGCACTGTGGGTCTCTGGGCAAAGGCAACTACACCGTATAGGGACACATACAGACTCCAAACTGTGCCACTGGGTCAAAAGTGGGTATGTCTGGCAGTTTTACCAGAAATTAAAAGAAAAGAAAAACATTTTCTTTTTTGTTCCCTGCGTGAGAATTTGGAGGCTGGCCAATGGTAAATTATGCCCCATGAGAACACTAGACCAGTACTATGACCCCAGCTCAATTTTTGGCTACATGATGTTTGTGTGGATAGCAAGATCTGACTGAATGCAAAACGGCAACTTTTTATCTTAGCACTGTAGTTTCGGAAATGTTCTTGGGTGAATCTGTCAATTAAATGACATTTAAAATCTACTGTTGCCACAACTATTTGGGACAATATATTGTATACATCTTGAAAAATTTTAGAGAAACTCAAAACAGTGCTTATTTCCAGGAAGAGGGGAGGAGTACTTTTACTTTCAATAACTCCCCTTTTTTTAAAGATTTTGTTTATTTGTTTTTAGAGAGGGGAAGAGAGAGAAACACCAATGTGTGGTCCCCTGCTGGGGACCTGGCCCACAACCCAGGCATGTGCCCTGACTGGGAATTGAACCAGTTACTCTTTGGTTCTCAGGCCAGCATTCAATCCACTGAGCCACACCAGCCAGGGCACAATTATTCCTTTTCTATGCTGTTGAATACATATACATATACATAGTCATGAGCCAAAGATTCGTTTTTTAAAAAATACTAATACTGCCCTGGATGGTGGTTTTTCTTCCCTTCCTCTCTCTCTAAAAATAAATAAGTAATTTTTTTAAATTAAAAAATGCATACTAATACATGGAAGGCCATCTCTCACCTCCTCTCTTTTTCTTCCCCTGCAGAAAATAGTAGTAGTTCCCCAAAAAGGAAACTTTTGGGGGGAAACATTTTAATATCCTAATAACTCTATACAGTGAGTATATTCTACTTTTAGAATGTCTTTACATGTTTTCTTACAACTGTTGTCAATTTTAACTGAAATGACTTCACCATTTTTTCAATCAATGTATTTGAACATCCACATTTTGCTGGACCCTGAAGGTACCATTATGAACAGAAGTGACACACATCTAGCCTCACAGAGCTTACTGCATTGGGAGTCAGTCAACATAGGTTTGACTGACTGTGTTTCAGGCCCTGTTCTATGTGCTGGGAAAAGAGCCCACGTAAGACGGCAAGTTCCTCTACGCAAGGAGCAGACATGGCAAGTGGGGTCGTCATGGGAGACAGACAATATGCAAGTTGAAAGGTAATAATTTTAGGTAGATCCATGAAAAAACTTAAAGCAGGGTAATGTTGCCCCTACTTCATGAAGTTCTGCTGGGGCTTAAACGACAGCATCCATGTAAAGTGCCTAGAACAGTGACATAAGGAAATAAAGTTTAACTCGGAACCTGAATGATGAAAAGGAGTTAGCTCTTTAAAGGTATGGGAAGACCGAGTTTCAAACTGAAGTCATCTCAACTGCAAGGGCACGGAGACTAGGACCAGCTTAGTGTGTTCGAAGGATGCAAGAAACGTATTGCAGAGCGATGACAATAAATGAGCAAAGGAAGGAGACAAGGCCCGAGAATCTGGCAGCAGTCAGATCTTGCAAGCTGTCCAAGGACAGGTAAAGTGTTTGAATTTTATTCTAAAGTGTAATTAGGTATTACTAGTAGAAATGACATGATTTGATTTATTGATAAAAAAAGACCACTCTCACTGCTGGTATGGCTGTTGGGGAAAAAAATGAGTGGAAGTGGTCAGTTGGAAGGCAGGTGAAGGGTAATGATGGATTTACCCTAGGGTGGCAGAAGTAGAAATTATGAGGGATGGCTGAATATTGGGATATAGCATGGAGAATAAAGTTTGCAGAACTTGATAATGGATTAGATGTGGTAGCTGAGGGGGAGGAAGACAGGAAGGAGATCCATCAGGGATGATGGCTAGATTTTCAGTCTTACTATCTGGGTAAGATGGTGGTACTATGAGCTATTATGGGAAATGAATGGTTCTGTCTGGCTGAGTTAAATTTCAGAGGCTTATTATATTTCCAGTGAAGATATTGCATAAGCAATTGGCTAATCCTATCTATAACTAAGGGGAAAGGCCCAGACTGGAGGCATTTCAAAACAAGGACAAGATTAGGTCACCTGGTGACTCATAGCAGAGATACCAAAAAATGGAAGGCAGAGGGTTAGATATTGAATTACAATGAATAGATACTTGCTGCGAAGGGGAAATACCTGGTTAGAGAAGAGAGAGGTTGGTCAGGGAAAGTCCCACAGAAGAATATCTGAACTCCTAGTATGCACGGAACATCAGGCAGTGACATTGTCTCCATGAGGACACTGTCCCACCCAAATACTTTGCAACTGATTTCATAGCTAGTGGTCTAATTGTAACTTTGCTTTTTACCAGAACCACAGAAAGCCAGAAGTGCCACAGCCCTGGCTGCTGCAGCTCAGTGGATTGAGCGCTGGCCTGTGAACCAAAGGGTCACAGATTGAATTCCCAGTCTAGGGCACATGCCTGAGTTGTAGGCCAGGTCCCCAGAAGAAGCCACATGAGAGGCAACCACACATTGATTTTTCTCCCTCCCTTCCCCTCTCTTAAAAATAAATAAAATCCTTCAAAAAAAAAAAGTGCTACAGGAAGTACCTAAATGTTAATGTGCCCTACTAAGAGACAGAATAGCCAGGCACCTAGGAGCAAAGGCCCTGGGGCCATTTTGTTTGGGTTCAAAGTCTGGGTAAACCACTTTCTAGGAGGGTGTCTCCAGGGGCATTACTCAATATATCTATACATCAGTTTTCTTATCTATAAATGGACATACTATTAATAGCTAACTACTTATGGACTGCTTACTATATTCCCTGTACTAAGATTTAACATATTATTCAACACCCCGCCCCCTTTAATCAATAGAGTTGAATGCTATTAATATGCTCATCTCACTAATGAGGAACCAGAAGCCCATTCACCCATTCCGCAAACATCTGTATGTCTGCTCTGTGCCGGGCATGTGTCTTCGTGCTGCGAGTACATTGGTTAACACTGTTAACCAAGAGCCTTGCCTCCGTACAGTTTCAGTCTGGGGTTTAGAGAAGGGAGAAATATGAAAAACATTATAAAGAAGTGTATTGTAAGGTAATTACGAGATGATAAGTGCTATAGAAAAAAACTGAAAAGGATGAAGAAGCTATGGAAGTTGGGGTTGTAAGTCGGGTATCCAGGGTAGACCTCACTGAGAAGGTGACTTTTGAGCAAAGATTCCCAAGATTCCAAGGAGGCGAGACAGCGAGCCACCCAGGTGACCGGGGACTGAGCACTCAGGAGCGGGAACAGCGAGTGCAAATCCAGGAAGTGCCATATGCTTAGCATCCACCACGAACACCAACCAGAGGAAGCAGGTAAGACGTGGTGAGGCAAGGGCTATGCACCCAGTTTAATAATTCTGGCTTTTACTCTGGTTAGATGAAGAACTAATGGACAGTTCTCCCCAAAGGAGCGATATAACTTGATCTCCTGTTATCGGTCCTTCTGTTTAGGATCAAGGTCCACACAGGCAGTCCGGGCGCTAGAGTCTGTGCTCCTAAGGTTAAAGAACCAGTCGCCACACAAAGGCTCAAGCTACGCAACAAGCGCCCTGTAAGCGCCGACTCATTACTGTGGTGACCAAGATCCTTTCACTTAAGCCCGGCCCCGACCTACCGCCCTCTAGCTCCCCAGCTCCTGAGCTCAGTATCCACTGAATCCTGTCTCCACGTAGCGTTTTCCTCGCTACCGATTGCGCAATTCGAGCATGGGCAGCCGGGCGGAGTCTTGATGTAGGCGGAGCAACAGCTGACTGGAGAACACCGGGGCTGCAGTGGCAAGGAGGTGCCTGCAAGAGCCCCGTGGATTTAGGAACTGCGCCTGCGCACACCGGATCCAGGCCGCGGACATTCCTGAGCCGCCTTCACTCTGTCCCAATTCCGGGGCCGAGTTCTTAGTTGCGCCTGCGCACAGGCTCGCCGCAATTTACGCCTGCGCGCTTTGCCCGCCAGGCCCCATTTCTCGCCCCCCCCCGCCCCAGGTTTTTCGGAAGGGGGAGGGGGTGCGTCTCGGCGAGTCACGATGATGGCGGCCACCGGCCTGTGATGAGCTAGCGGATTCTCTACTTGTTTCCAAGAGCTCCTGGAGCCTCTTGCAGATTCAGTGGCCGGCGCCAGGGACTTGACAAAGCACGGCGGCCCTAAGTCGCGGGAAAGTCCGCAGTTGCGGAGGTAGCGACGCGGTCCGAGGCCACGGCTGGGGGAGAGGCCGATCCGCGGGGCGAATGTGACAAACCCCCACCCCCACCGCCTTCCTCTCGAGAGCACGAGGAGCGCGGGCGACCCCGGGGCCCCGCCAGGCCACAGACCCCGCCCAGCGGGCAGCACCCGGAGCAGGCCCGGCAGCGGAGCGGCGCGGCGGCACCATGCAGGTCACCCTAAAGACCCTGCAGCAGCAGACCTTTAAGATCGACATCGACCCGGACGAGACGGTGCGAGCGGCGGGGAGCAGGGGAAGGGGCGGACGCGCACGGGCCGCCGGGCCTGGGCGGAGGGGCGGTGCGACCGTGCGCGGGGTCCCAGCCTCAGCTCTGAGCAGGGCCCGGCGGCGCCCTGAGCTGCGAGAGCCCGGGTGCACCTAGGAGACCGTGGCGTGGGGCTCCGGCTCCTGGCTTTTGATGAGGCCTGCGGGCACCGGTCGAGGGCAGGGTCGGGTGTCCCTGACCCAGTGGCGTGCGGCCGTCGGGACCCTTCGAAGTTGGCCACGGGCTTTGTGGCAAGAGTAAGGGGAAGCTGTGGCCAGACACCGAAGGCCTGCTGGCAGATGGCGTGGAGCGAGCGCACGCACGCGGGGTACTTGAGGCCTTGTACTGGGAGTTCTGCTTCACCGGGCCAGGGTGGGGGGTGGTCAAGGCTTCTTTGCGGTGTAGCTGGGCACTCTGGTGTGGGTGTTTGGGCGGGGGGGGGGGGTAAGATGTAGGCGTCTCCACTACCCCTACGTGAACCTGGTTGGGCGCTAAGCTCGAAGATAAAGAGCCTTTTAAAAAGGGGTGTCAGGTTCCGTCCGTCGCAGGGTGAGAGGTGAGGCGTGGGGAAAGTGAATTCTGTGCCCTCTACCCCCCAGAACTGGTATATCTTGGCTGCAGTTCTCCCGCCACCGAACCCACACCTATATGTAGATTGCTCTTTGTGACCTCTTTGATGGTGAAGCTTTTTGCTTTTAGACCTCTTTCCGGTCCTCGGTGTTAAAAGTCTTGGAATTGTAGGAGTTTGAACCCTGCATCCTCCCCTTCCTGCCCCCAGTAATAACACTTCGTAAGAGAAAAACGAAAATAAAAACTTTACTCTTAATGCAGTTAAGCCTTTGAAAACTTCGTAAGTCCACATGGTAAATCCTCAGACCATCTTCTGTATATTTGACTGCCAAAAGAGCCACTATGTTGAAGTCAGTACAGTTTTATGCCAAGAATCTAAAAATGCCATGGGTATAAATTCACTGCTTATGTTGTGGAATTGTCACATTCTACACCGTTGAAGTTGTCATAATGCTAAATTTAAACGAGCAACTTTTTTGCCCATCTGTATTTTTTTTTTAAGTTGATTCTGTTCTTGGTGTTAACTAAATAGATCTGAGTTTCATTGTGGCTTTGTACGTAGTTGCTATGTGCCTGACTTGCAGAGATGAGATGATTAGACGGTATTTGATTGGTGATCGCTAAATGGAAGTGATTATTAATCAGTGGACAGATACCTTTGAGTGAGCATGTAGTAGTCTATGTTTATCTCATTTAATGTAAAGTTTTCTACATCTTTAATCATTTAAGAAACAGTTCTCAACTTTTTTGGAATTGTGGCACAAAATGATTTTGTTTCAAGATATGTGTAGAAGTATGCTGTGTGATTAAATTCTTAAAGATGCAGGAAATACTGACTACAGATGAGAAACGTCAGTGTCCTCAAAAGTAATTGACAACACCCTGTGGATTGATGTTACTAATAGAAGTCAGATTTCTACTGCTTAGTGTGTACTAGTAACTTAGAGGATGAAAATTAAAATGCAGCTGTCTGTGATGTTTTCATAATTGTCTATTTGATTTTGGTTCTTTGTAGTATTAAATGTTGGTGCTGCAGGAACTTTACCAGCTGATAATATTCAAAATTAATTCCAAAATTATTGAAACAAGATTTTTTAAAAATCTGTGAGTTTATTGAAGCTATTCAGTGACTTTTTTCAGCTTCACTGAAGTACTTATAGTCTGTAAGATTTTTATAGCTCTTTGGGCACTTTATATTACCATAGAGCCAAAATTATGTTTGTATAGATTTTTAACTATTTGCTATTTTCCACTTTATTTCCGAGGCAATGTATTAGTTAAATGAGTTATAAAATATATATAGTTTCAGAAAGCTCATTGTTACAGGATGGCTTTTTAGCCTTATTTTACTATTTGTATAAATGTACAACCTCACACTGTTAGTCTGGGGCAAGAAATGAGAACATTTCATCTGTAATATATAAGACATTTACATTAAAATAAGTCATAGGGTTTCATTTTAGTGAATTTAAATTTCAGAAATGTTTTTCAAGATGGAACTATATTAAATTTACTTAATAGTGGTTTTTAAAATTAATATTTTTGATACAGAATTTAAGTGAAGAATTCTGATAAGAAAAATAAAGATTATGTATATTTATAGAGAAACTAAGTATCCCATTTCTAATCCTGTGAAAACTAGATAACCAAGGATATTAAATAAAGGGGGAAATGGACTTCAGTGAGATTTATGTAAGGAGATCCACATAGAGTGAAAAGATTTCATTTTCTGAGACTTCTATTTTGGCTGCTCAAAAGTTTGTCCTTGTCTGATATTTGCTTAGAACTAAGGAAGTGAAGTAACTTCAAGTTTTCAGTAGAGAAACTTCTTGTGGGGCATGAGCAGGAGCAAAAATAAGTGGAAGAATGAACTGAGATAAGAATCATAGCAGTGATTCATTTGCTGAATGAGTAAATGTTAAGTGAGCTTTGGCAAGACTGGAGGGTGCAGGGACTTTGTAGCACCTGGTGTGGGTCTTCTGGAAGCCTAAGGGACCTGCTTACAACTTATGGGGCTATATACAGTTGAAGTTGTCAGACGGGGAAAAAAGCAGGAGGATTTAGGTGGGTGTATTTGCTTTAGTTTCTAACTGTTGAAAATCCTCTCTCCTAGTTTTTAACTAACAGAATTTTCTTAATACTTACTAGCCATTTTGAACCATTGCAAGTCTTTTTTTATTTGTAATAGTAATTACATCTCCTCTTATAAAATGTTCAAGCTGTATATAAACAAAATGGGAAGATGGGATGGGAAAAAACCCATTGCTTGAAAGAATATTCTTCATTATGTGGAGAAATTTCATCTGAAAAAGCATTCTGAGATGTCTGATAGACTGATAATCATACACAATTCTTTAAAATTCTGGAGCTTGGTGGTATGATGGAGATTTAGAGGGAAATGGAGTACACAAAGTTTTTAAGCTCATATCTAAAGTCACTTTTTTTTTTTGCCATTACTTAAACCCTCTAATTGAGAACAGGTGGATTAAAGAACAAAAGTTAATATTAATTGTAATATAGTGAACATCTTATTGTATCACTGAAAATGAGAAGGAAGAGTATGTGTATGCAGATTTAATCTTTCAATCCGTTAACTCTTGTGACTGTTGTGTACTTTCAGTAACTGGACCAAAAAAAAAAAAAAAAGCCCAGCTGGAACAGCGCTTTAAATGCACATGCCGAAATGTAATTATATTACTGTACTCATATAACTGACGTCAAAGTTGTGTATGTACATTGGAAGTTTTTGCTAAGAGAAGTGTAAAGATACAGTAGCTTTAATTACTGCGAATAGCATAGTGTGCTGTAATCTGCAAATAATTGTTTCACTGTGCTGTTTATCTGTGTAATGTTGATTATGATACAAAATATTGTTTTAGTACTTACTTCATATATGGTATTTGCTAGCCATTTTCATGAGTGAATTTTTCCTATTATGCTTTATTGCATTTTAATTTAGTTGTGCTGAAGTTGTGCCTTAAGATGTTCCTGGATTATTAAAACATCCAGTACTAGACTATTAAAGACCTACATTGCAGAGAAGAAACTAAGGTTTCTTTGGCTTATTGGTAGGGTTTCTGCCAGACTTTTGCTCTTGCTGACCTGGCACAGCATCTTCATTTAATAAAGATCTTTTGAATGAATTGAATATGTTCTTTTGGTGAACTGTCGAGTCATTGACCCCTTATGTTTGCCTGTTGATTCTTTTATTTAATATTTGTTGAGTACTTATTAAATGTCAGATCCTGCCGTCATAGCATATACATTAGAGTGGAACTAATTAGTCAAAAAGCAGATTTTTAAAACCTGATAATTAGGAGAGCTGTGAAATAGAGTGAGGTAATCTGATAGTGCAGGACTGGGTGGCTACTTTCGAATTGGTCACAAAAAGCCTTTCTGAGTAACGTGACATTTAAGCCGAGATCTGAATAACAATAAGTATTCAGATGAGGAGAGTGTTTTCTATAGGTAAAGACCTTTAAAAAGAGTGTTTGGGGAACCATAGTCTTGTGTTGCTGGGAGAGGGGGAGTGCAGATTAGAGATTGGAGTGTTAGGCTAGGCACCAGAGCCTGTAGGCCTCTGTCATCAATCACCTGGGGGGTTTCAAGGTGGAAGCCTGGGGGATTTTAAGCAGAGGAGCAAAATGATTTTTTGTATGACTTTAAAGAGTTGGACCACTATATGGAGAATGATGTAGAAAGAGCAGGAGCGACAGCAGGGAGACCAGTGAGGAGGCTTGCTACTACTGCGCAAGTAGTCTGAGGCAGTGGAGGCTTCTACCAGGGAAGTACGGTAGAAGTAGGGATATGAAGAGAAGTGAATGGATTTGAGATAGTTTGGGAGCGAGGAGTTGAGAGAATTTTTTGGTGGATTAGAGTGGGGAAAATTGAGAAGTCAAAAATTAAACCTAAATTTCGGTTGTATGAATGGTATGCTTACTTTTTTTCCTGAGATGTAGAGGGCTGGGAAAGGAGTAGGTTTGGGGGTCAGGGTAAGGACTCAAGACCTAAATTTAAAATGCCTGTTAAACATTCAGATGGGGAATACAAGGAGATTAGTTAGGAATCACAGTTCCAGGGAGAAGTCTCCTAGAGACGGAGACTCACAGTAGGCGGCCACTCATAGTAGTGTGGTTGGCTTCAGGTGAGATCATCCAGTAGTCTTTTTGTAATGCCTAATCTCTTTTGAGCCCTAAAGCCTTATATGTTGTTTGTATTTAATCAGCATCTATTTACTAGAATTGAGGAACCTTGATGGGAATGTTGCTGGGTATTAGGATGTGGCCTGGGGCTGAATCCTGGGACGCTCTGACACATGAAGATCAATAGTGATGATAGTGATGAGGTCAGTCGAGAAGCAACCTTTGAGGTAGGAAGAATCCCCCCAAAAAAATGTT